CCACTGTAGACTCGAAGGACATGACTAGACCTGGAGGATGGATCCGGTGGACCGAAGGCCCGATACGGCGGACCAGTCACACAGTAGACCCGATATGCATGGCTGTTCTATGTTCTGTTATACTATGTACGTTTTATATGTTATGGGCCGGAAGGCAATATGTTTTGGACCGGAAGGTCGCAGGCTGGAAGGGCGTATACGTGGTTGCTATTTTGGGGCTATCTCACTAAGCTTTCGGGCTTACAGTTGTGGTTTAATGTTTTTCAGGTTCTTCAGGAGACTGTGGCAAGGCGAAGGCGTGATCGTACAGCTCCTCATGATTTTGTAGCAATGTGATTCTGGGAATACTCTAAATGATTTGTATTGAAAACCTTTTTGTAAACAATTTAATGAAAATCGGGTTATTTTGAAAAATTTAAATTGGTTGTATTTTTCGGATGTTACATGAGAGCTTCAAAATGTTGCTTCCCACCAGACCAAGGCTTCTCCAACGAGCATTACAGAAGCATAATTAGCCTTGTCTTCATTAAGCACATGAGAGATACGTAATACTTTTTTTGTGTTCTGGATCAATGTAAGAACAACAATGGGATTAAGAACACCTGAAAACTCCGTAGCACCATTACTCTTGAATGTTGTGAATGAGGGACGTTTCGCCTCTCCTTTTGAAGATTCTATGGTGTCTTTCCCTTTACCTTTATCACTATCCTTTTTGTGTTCTTCGAGAGTCTGTCGAACAACACCAGTAAGTTTATCCAAGAGTCGCTCTTTACGAGGGGATACTGTAGTATTTACTTCATCAGGATGAGGTTCTCCACCCACATCTGGTGTATGGTTACTCACCTGTTCATCCATTGCTCTGATACCATGATTGAGATAACCTCTCTCTAAAACTACATCATAATACTCTAAAACAAGCTACATGCATATTCATAAACAATAATTTACATTGATAGTTTAATTACAAAAGACTGGATACAAACCGACTAAGTTTTTAGTATATTACATAACTACCTAGGAAATTATAATTTTATACATACATGATCACCAAATACAAAAGTAATATTATTAACTATTCTAAATCTTCCAACAGTATGTGTCTATACTGGATGCTTATTACCTTCAATTGTTAAACACTGGGAGGGATAAGCGGTGACTCTTAGTGAGTTCAAAAATAGGTACAATATAACGTCATGCCATATATATATATATATATATATATATATATATATATATATATATATATACCAATATGACAGAAGCGAAGAGGAACAAAGAACAACAAAAGCATATGTGAATCATGTGACAAGCTTTCCATATCAACAAATAATCTGATGCAAAAATTTACAATCAATGAGATACAAGAATTTCAACTTGATATACATCAACAAGACTTCAGCCCAAGTGGCATAGAAAACACAATTTTAGATTATCATTTTGCTAGAATATATAGGCTTTCAGCCCTATCTAGCATTTTGCCAATACCAAAGTGATGCTTACTCATTCACTTCATGGTCAAAGGCTACATACCAGTACCAAAGTGATGCTTAGTCATTCACTTCATGGTCAAAGGTATAACTCTATTATCATAATAACATGGGAAAGCACATTGCACATATAACACATAACATATAATTGTTCCTATAATTTGAATTCACCGTGAAATAACTGGAGGTTAAAATGGTAATTTGAGCAGCACTTCGTTTCTATAAATAACTTTCTTCAATGAAAACTGGGAGCTTTATTGAAAACCGGGCCTTGCGAGGGTTGAGTTTCAAACCGAAAAGATAAATTTCTCCGGGTCTTCGGGCACTTCGGGACGTTCTTTGGGTGTTAGGTAGGTTCCCGGGACTTCGGGGGATGTTGGAATAGCTTTAAAATGAGTTTATGGGTAAAAAGTGTGAAATTTCCAAACAAAATCGGGCTGGTTCGCACCTCCCTTTATATAGGGCGAGGCTTCGGCCGAAGGGGGAAGGAGGGACACACGACAACAACGAGGGCAAGGGGGAGGGGTACGTGGCTCGTATGCAAGGGGCCAGGTGTCGGATCTCGGGCTCGCCACCAACGCAACATGCATCAACAGCTGGTTGGGCTGCGCCTCGGACTCAAGAAGAATGCGACGCGCATTGGACACGGGGCGCATGCGAGGAGCGGGTGACGTGGCCGAACCTTGGCCTAGTTCTTGCAAAAATTCTTAGTTTTTGTGTCTCGATTTTCAAAATTTCATAACTTTTGTATACAAGCTCTGTATTCGATGTTCTTTATATGAACTCGTAGGCGAGATTATACTCTACAACTTTCATTTAGACTCCGTTGGCTAATTTTGACTTTATTTTTAATATTATCATTTTTAACAGATCAAGATAGGAAAATCCGTTAAAATTTCAGAACTTCTTCATCCGACGTTCATTTTCGTCTGTCTTTTTACCATTTTAGTACTATTGACGTGACCTTCGATTCTCGTTTAGGTTGTGTCGGCTAAAAATCACTCAATCTTTATTTCGAGTTTTTAGCTATATACTGCTATACCGAAACTTAGAAAAATAATAACTTCCTCATACGAAGTCAGATTTTGACGTTCTTTTTATGAAAATTCTCTGTTTAACGAATACTACGACTTTCATTTAGATCATTAAAGCTAAAAAGTAGTTTGTTGAAAGATCACTTTTTATGCTAAATAGTGTTTTGCTGGTTTTGTCGCGGATCTTCGATTGGTCATAACTTCTTCGTTATAACTCGGATGTCGATAATGTTTTCGTTTGAATGCTTCTAACGAGATAATCTACATCTTTCAATAACATTATTTTTATTTATTTCAAACTTTATATTTTTGTTAATTTCGATAGTTGACTTTTGATCGGAATTTTATAAGACTTTCAATACATTTCAAGTGATTCTAAATATAGTTTTACTTCAAATCTCATAAAAACTATCTTGTTAGAACTAAACGCTCAAAAACATATAATATTATTCATTTTAGGCTAATAAGCTTTACAAAACACGATAATCGAATAATGTTATTAACGTGTATGTTACACTATAACTGCACTATTAAATAAGGGTATTTTTTGATGCGATATTTGTTAGGGCGGTTCAATAACTGCATCAAATAATTATTTTAATTGCATCAATAAATCGTTTTTGTACTAGTGACACACACTAAAACCAGTTTCAAGATGGATTTAATGGTTTCCAGAGCATTAAATTAACATACTTAACATATGAATCAACTCAGAAATCATAGACAATAACCTATGCTTTAAACTTGGACCAGTTTCGGAAAGAGAAAAACGAGACAAACAAGAGTGGAGAAGGGTCCACGAGATTAATCGGTGGCATATGAGGCAGAGGTAGCATCGCCGTAAAAGATAAAACAGTAAAAAAGAACAACATTTTTCATACACCACCATTCCTACCGCCTCCGTAACCCACCAAAACCAACCATCCACACCAATCGCTGCCTTCACAGAAATACCCACCACCGTTCACTTTCTTCATCATTTCCTTACAATTTATCATTGTTCTTTCTTCTTCATCAACACTGCAACAATGGCAAATCACTTCTTTTTCACGAAAGATCGATTTGATTAATTGAACGCTCTATTTTCTTATAAGTTTACTAATGTTCTTCAGTTTTCTTCTTGATTTGTTATGAACTCGACTAAAAACGCTAATGAAAGTGTACAATTTTCTCTTTTTATCACTCTCTATCATCTATCTGTATCACTCTCGATCATCTATCTGTACAATTCTCTTTTATTCAAATTGCAAATTGCAAATTGCAAACAACCAATCGTATCTAACCACTGTTCCTGCATAAATTCAACAATCGCATACCACCACTAAACCTTCATCACAACCACATATACACCACCATTTCCGAGAGCTACAACCCCGTAAAACATCTGCTCTACACTATATGCCACCATTTTCGAGGGCCACAACCCCGTAAAACATCTGCTCAGCAGAAACAACCACGGTCAACAATAAAGAAGAATAGAAGAAGATAAAGGGTTGTGTTGCTGTGAAAAGGAAAAGGGATATGGGGTTTAGAACACCACCACTTCTGTCACCCCACAACCGAAAACAACCTCCATCAGAGCTACCATCGAGCACCATCTTCAAACACTTGTTAAGTAGAAAAAGGAAAAAGGGTCTTGGGTTTGAAGAGTCATATATATATATATATATATATATATATATATATATATATATATATATATATAGAGAGAGAGAGAGAGAGAGAGAGAGATGGGTGAGCCGAAGTTTTGTAACCCAATCCAGTTAAAACAAGTAAAATGACTAAAATAACAGGTTGCCCACAATTTGGTTCCTCGTAAAACCATGAAAAAACTTGAATGATTAAAAGGGTTAAGTGTAAAAAGTTGGTAGACTATATACTTATTTTCCTTAAAACTATTTGATAAAATACTTGGAATATGTGTCCGATGAAATGCTAATTATGATGAATATTGAATACTAATCAATTGCATATTATGATAGATAAATTGATATTTAGAATTAATAGTTTTATCATAGAATAGATAGATTAATAAAGACTAAAATACGTGACCTCGAAGCTTTATGTTCATGCGGGCATGTCACTTGATCGTGGAAGTCAACTTATTGACTTTTTTCTCAATCATCGGAAGATTAACTTATAATCACAAATTTTAATCATATCCAAGAATAAAAGAACCCAGGTGTCCTACATCAAGGAATTTCCAACCCCTTGTAATGGATTAAAAAACAATAATAAAGAAGTAAAAATAATAAGACAAAATCACTATAAATAAAGCTTAACTATGATCTTGTAAATGCGTGTCAAAACGTACTCTTAATTTCTAATGGCGTCTAAACTCTTTCTTCCCTTTTCATGTATCTTGTTTCTTGCTTTCTTTCTCCTTCCAGTTCTTTCGCATTTGCACTACCCTCATCTACAACCAAATGGGTTATTGGGTAATAACACTAACCCGTCACCTTTCGGGTTTCTTAAATCCATGCAAGGGTGTCGTAAGGGAGAGAAAGTGACTGGTGTTCGTGACCTTAAAGTCTATCTTGCTCGTTTTGGATACCTAAACTACCAGAAAAACCCTAATCTCCCAGATCTTGATGAAGATCATTTTGACGAAGACCTTGAGGCAGCCCTCAAGTCGTACCAAGCTTACTACCATCTGAATGCCACTGGGACACTCGACGAGCCCACGGTATCAAAGATGGTGATGCCTCGTTGTGGGTTTCCCGATAAAGAAACTCATCATAACCATAACACCAATAACTCTTTACACACAGTTTCCCATTACAGATTCTTTCCAGGAAGACCAAAATGGCCAAGGGGGTAAAAAGCATCTAACTTATGCTTTCGGATCACGTTTCCCAACCAGATTCATGCCTCCTGTTGATCGAGCTTTTAGAAAATGGGCTACTGCTACTCGATACTTCACGTTCTCAAGAGCTAGAAGTTATCGTAGCGCTGACTTAAAGATTAGTTTTGCACGTGGATCTCATGGAGATGGGAATCCATTTGATGGACCTGGTGGTGTGTGGCCCATGCTTTTGCACCTACAGATGGAAGACTCCATTATGATGCCGATGATCGTTGGGCAGTGGGAGCTGTTCGGAATGCTTATGACGTGGAGACTTTGGCATTGCATGAAATAGGCCACTTACTTGGGCTTGGTCATAGCCAATTTCAGAATGCGATAATGTGGGCTACGTTCAGGTCAGGAGTAACGAAAGGTTTGAATTCGGATGACGTTAGAGGGCTTAGGGCTCTATATGGGTTTTAAGGATATATAACAATTTCTGAAAATGAGGTTTTTGTGTGATGGTTTTCTTTTTTTGCTTTTTATTGTTGAATACTTCGGCCTTAATTTGGATTAATGTTGTATTGTTTGCAATAAATTTATGTTTGTTTTTTTATATATTTTTTTGTCTGTTTTTGTGAGACGCAATTGTGAAAATAGCAACATACAAATTTACTTGTGTATATCACTATGTATAGTAATGTATTTTATATTTTACCCATAACCTCAACTAATATATATTTTCTATTAGTATTGAGGATAAGCAATGATAGCAACCCTATTCGATGGGGTTGGCGTCCAAGAAGATGAATCACCGAGAAGAGAGATTTTTTGTGTTATGATTTTTTTTTTGGTTATTATTGTTGTTGAAGACTTCGGCCTTAATTTGGATTAAGATTGTCGTGTTTGCAATAAATTTATGTTTGTTTTTTATATATTTTTTATATATCACTATATGGTAATGTATTTTATATTTTACCCATAATCTCAACTAATATGTATTTTCTACTGGTATTGAGGATGTGCAATGATAGCAACCTATTTGATAGGGTTGGCCTATAAGAAGATGAATCAGAAAGAACGGAAATTTTTTGTATGATTTTTTTTTTTGTTGTTGTTATTATCGTTGAAAACTTAGACTTAAGTTGGATTTGTATTGTTGTTTTAGATGCAAATAGTGGATCAAGTTTTTCAAACTTGCCCAAAAGTGTGTATCAAGTTTGATTTTGATTGCAGGTTTTTTTTTTGGTTTTGTTTTTATTTGAATTGGTGCTGGTGGTGACTAATCGTGGTTGTTAGAGGTGACTAATAGTGGTTGTTGGAGATGACCAATAGAAAAGCAATCATCGAAAAAAATATGGTGACTGTGGAGGTGTGACTTGAAGGAAGGAGAAATAGAGAAATAGTATAACATGTGTAGATTCGGGCTACACAATTAAAATATAATAAACTATAAAAACGATATTTTTATAGAAGATTATTTAGGATAAATACTCTTAATGAAAGTTATAGTATATGTGACAAAGATTCCGTACATATAAATAACTCCGAAATCTGATTTCGTATGAAGAAATTATGTGTGTCTTAGAAGTTTTGTGATTAAACCGACACGGGTATACGCATCGTAAAAAGGATTTTTTTTTTCAAGGTAGCAGTGTGCGACACAGAAAACGAAATCAACGTCGGTTGATTCTTAGGAAAAACAATCTAAACAAGAGTCGAAGGTTTCGTTAATAGGAGTCCATTGATATAAAGACAGCCAAGAACAGATGTCGTATGAGAGGGTTATGATTTTTATATGAGTTTTAACAGTCTAAGCCTGTTAAAAGTATAGAATTAAAAATAAAGTGGAAACTATCCGACAGAATCCAAATGAAAGTTCTAGACCTCGTCAATAGCTACGTGTGGATATAAAGAACATCAAAAACGAAGATCATATGAAAAAAATATATGATTTTTTGAAAAAACTGAAAATAAGCGTGTGTGGCGCACTTATGACATACCACAAGAATCCGCTACGTGTTAGCACCTAAGAGGATCCACGTCAGCACCCCCGACCAAGTGCATGGCGTGCACCCGATCATGTGCGTGTCACGCTTCCGGAGTTTTGCGTACAAATTGCTTTCTTTAGCTTATTCACTCGCCACAATTTTTCAAATTACTCTCTCAACTTCAAATAACAGTTTTTGAGGTCTTCTTTTAGGATTTCAAGAATATTTTAGTTTAACAACACCCTAGGCATCTAGGCTCGATTAATAGAAGCTTTCGGGTTGGGGTTCTAGCCATAGAATTTATCAGTTTTCGCTCTGTAAATTAAGATACACTTATTTTATTTCAAGTTAAACTTCTATTTATTTTCATAGTCGTTAGTATGTACCTATAAATAAGATTTATCAGTAATTTCAAGTCATTATACTAATTGATCTACTTACATGGATAATGTCTAGGCTTGATTTAGTGAGATGTTTAAAGTGGAATTTCAAAACAGTATACTATGTATACCAAACGGACCCTACCTCTGATATGATCCTACCTGGTTATTCCTTACTTGATAGATCTTGATGTAGACATTGGGATTTCCGAGGAATCTAGACTATCATTATTCGTGAAGACTTTTAGACTAAGACTTGGTAACAATAAGTCACGTCAAGGGGAAAAGTCAGCGTGTTAGGCGAAGTGTTGCCCTAATCGCCAGTCATCCACCTAAGTTAGGTGAGTGCATAGTTACTTTCAACTTACATATAGATACAAGTAATCTAAATGCTTAAATGTTATGTGCATTGTTTTGGTTGTGCTTAATATATTTGTACAAAATGATACGATTGTTACTTGATCTAATCGTATATTATACTTAATAATATGATTGGGTAGTAAAGGGTTGTGTGAAATAAGAAATGAGAGGCTATGATAGGACTATGTGAGATAATGGTTGTGATAGATTAGTGGGAGTTGAGAGAAAGAATAAGTTGTGACTTGTCGTGCCTATCTAAAGTAATATTGTATTGTTGTGCCTACCCAAACTACAACTGCACTGTTATGCCTACCCAAAGTACTATTGAACTGTCGTGCCTACCCAAAATACTATTGTACTGTCGTGCCTACCCAAAATATTAGTGTATTGTCGTGTTTTTTCCAAAATATTATGCGACAAACCGAAAATTTTTATTTTGTAAGCTCAGCCAGTCAACTCAACTGAGTGTCAGAATCATTAGTATAGAGTTCTAGCCTAGTTACAGAACATTCTAAGGAGTTTTGAGCCTAATACACTTAAGGAATAAGTGTTAGAAAGTACTGGCTAGAACCACAGTGTAGCAAATCGAATCCTAACCCCATCTAAATGAGTTCACGGCCACAAGACCATGAGTTTATGGCCGTAAACTCAAGAGTAGATATAGGGCATTGGGTCATTTCTTCTCATTTCTTCCTTTCTTGGCCGGATTTTCTCACAAATCCTCTCAACTATCATCCAACCCCTTTCCTTAGATCTTCAAAAGAGCGAGTATTCTATCCCTTCATTAGTTAATACATCTTATTAAATAGCTTCTTACATTGATTTCATCCATGAAAATCATGTTTTTTTAGATACTCAAGAAACACCAAGAACACCAAGAACACACACTAGTGTTTTTGGCCAAATCGACTAGTTCAAGCCCCTATATCGTAAGCACTCTTCTTTTAACTTGTTGTACACTATATTAAACATGTCTAGACCTTATAAACATCAAGAAACAAAGGTTAGAAGAGAGTTTACGGCCAAGGATGTTCTTGGGCCGTAAACTCCCTTTTATGGTGCAAAGATGCCCCAAATTCCTTTCTTAAGCCTAGAGACTAGCCTACCACTTTAGCTTGAGGTGTTTAGTACTCAAAACAATCAAAATACCATCACCCATAGGTGATTACGGCCGCAAACACATGCCAAAGTGGTCCATTGGCCGAAAACTCAATTTAAGGGTGTATTGATGCCACAAACACGTCCTAAGGCTTAGACTTGAAGTTAGGATGATTCATTATAACTTTTAGGACCCTAAACAACTATCATAAACATAAATGGTCATGAGTTTACAGTTGTAAACTCATTAGGGCTGTGAACACCCCAAAAGCTTCAAAGAAAGTGGTCTTCCTCATCCTAGGGTAGAGCTAAGGTCCTTAAAACATCTATAGCCTTCAAACTTGCACATATACATGAATAACCATGAGTTTACAGCCGTAATCTCCCTTGGGCCATAAACCCATGGTATTAAACTCACGTGAGTTCCATTCTACCTTCCTTTGTTGAATCACATGTGATTCCAACACTTGGTCAAGGTCTTTCCTAGTCCCGAAAGGTGTTTCCTTTCATATAGTTGTTATAAACACTATATTCATGCCAATATGTGTCATTATATATCATTTAAAACTTATTGTGTCTCGGAACTTCATTCGTGGAACTTCTCATCCGTACACGCATACCCGTTTGAATCACCCGCATCAGGTGAGTTCATACCCCGTAATAAATCTTTTAACTGTTTTAAACTGTTTTAAGGGGGGGGGGGGTGGGAATACAGGTTGAACACAATGATAATTGTGTAAATGATTGTTGTTGAACATCTTTCAAAATGTTACTTATGTTATTTATAAGTTTTCAAAACATTTCAAAACTCTTTTAAAGTTATGTTACTTTATTGTTATACAAAACTCTGTTTTTAAAGTACAAGCATAACTTAGTAGATAAATGAGTCTTTTCAGCAACAGTCCAGGTAGAACATTAGTAAACTATACCATAAGACAAACAGTGAAGAGAATCAAACAATACCATAACAGAACAAACAGTGAAGAGAATCAAACAATACCAGAACATAACATAACAAACAAGTTAAGTTGCTATAGCATGAGAACACTCAAACAGGATCAAATTATACCAATGAATCACTAACGCATTGGTGATAGTTATATTGGGTATACATGATCATATAACTTTAAGGTGAATTACACAGCTTGCAAGAATTCGCGGTGGCCGCGTTTGGTTCCCTTAATCTCTTGATAGGGAGAGCATCTAGTAGGGGTTCTAGCTTTCACATTATGACCGTAATAAAACAAATATGTTTTTAGGTTATTAGTACATCCGCATGTCATTATAAACGACATCTGTGTACTTAGTTTTCCCATTACTTTCATAAAGTGACAGTACCACTTGAAAGTTGATCTATTTTCAAGTCAAGATAGTTCTAAACTATGGAGAATATACTTTTACATTGAACAAAGGAACAATCGGGTTTAGCACAGAACAGAAGATGCCTTAGTAGAAGGCTACGATTAAAGATAGGACCATAATGCTAGTCTTATGATTCCTTAATGTATACATCACAAGATACATAT